AAGCTGGTCTTGAACTCCGGACCTTGTGATCCGCCCACCTCGGCCTCCCAAAGTGCTGGGATTACAGGCGTGAGCTACTGCACCTGGCCAGTAAAATCTTTAATAAATAAGCTAGCTTTAAAATTACTGGTAAACTACTATTAGAAATGCCTTAAGAATTGCCCAGCAGACATTTTTGTTTGCATTTATTAATCAAGCAATTTCATACTTATCCCTGCCAAATACTGTAAGGTGTCAAAATTTGGCATAGGGGTTACAAAACTATAAGCCCAGCCCAAAATAGAATAATCTTTGCTTTTGTAATTTGTAATAAATAAGACACTGATAAGGATTTAATGAAAATAGCTGCATCTTGAATGTAGTAAGACTACTGTAACTTCTAATCCAGTGGCTTTAGGCAGTCTAGTCCACAGGCAATAAGAGGTTTGTTTTGGGAAAGGACTGTTATTGCCTATTTCAAAGCTAAACTATAAATTACGTTCCTCCCAATGTTAGTTCAGCCTATGCCCAGGAATGAACAAGGACAGCTGGGAGGTTAAGAGTGACATTGAGTCGCTTAGATCAAATCTCTTTTCAGTGTCTCAGTTATAAGTTTGCAATGGCAGTTTTATAACTTTAAATAATGACTATCACAGTTTTCATGAATAATCTAGGTAAACAATTAAAACAATTAGGTAAATGTAATGACATAAATATTTGCAGACAAACTTGTCATAATTTAGAATATAAAGCTATATTAAATTAAATAATAGATATTTCACTATTTGGGTATTTTCCAATAAATACACATTGTAGGAAAACATTATTGCTAAAGAAAAAAGAAATGTGTCCTTAAAAAAAAAGTGAACAAGTTTTGTCTAATTCAAAGCTTAAAGGTTATGTATAGAACAAGGTGAAAGGAACCAGGAATAAAAAAGATGTAAAGAAAGTTATAAAAATAAAGAGATTTTATTCTATCTTTTTTGAGGTGAAAAACTTACAGAGAAATAATTTTATATAAGAAAGAATCTTGTATGGTAAATTTAGTCCTAAAATAAAATAACTGCTTTTATAAAAAGGAGGGATGTTCACAAGAAATCAGAAAGTCCAACCATGTCATGAGCAGTCAGTGTAAGTCACAATAAGAGGATTTACATATTTAAAAAAATTCACACAATCAAGTTGTCATATTAAGTTTTGGTTTGCTTAGGAAAAAATTAACTGAGATAATTTTTTTTTTTTAATTACGGTCATTACATCATTACATCCACGTATCTTCCTGTATGTGCTTTTAAAGTTCTTGTAACATTGAGTTACAGGGCTCTAACTCCTGGGTCTAAAAAGAACACCAAGTCCTGCTAAATCTTAAACACTGACAGCAATTAAAGGCTTATCTTCAGGCCCTGTAGAAGATGTCAATCAAAATAAACTGCATTCCTGAGACAGAGGGCAAGAAATTAAAGCTATTCAACTCTTCAAGGCCCAGGGACTGTCACCGAAGAGGTGGGTATGTAAGATTGTAAGGGCCAATTTTGAAAGATAAAATAGGTTCAGTTCCTCTATAAATTAATTATCAATGTCAAAGGTACACTGATGTAAAACCAATATATGGACCCTTATGTCAGATTAACAAGGTTTTCTTGAAGCATTGACCAACCTCTTAATAAAGATTATAAAGGTTATAAAAGGCTTATTGAAGTTGTATTTTATAATCAAGATTAAATTTTATAAATTGTTTACCAAAGTTTGAAAAGCAAATGTAATTGACTTCATGCTGTTTTTATTAGGGCTTCTTGTTTAGAAAATTCAGTCTTCTCTCTCAAAGAATGAAGGTGTTTGCTTTTTGAAATGCTTGAATTATCACTTAAATGAATGACTTTACAATGACCTGTAATCCTATTTTGTAATACCAAGTGTTTTAAACCTTTTATATTTGACAAACTTTCCAAAATCAAATTATAAATTATGCCTTTTTCTAACCTAATTAATCTTTTAAGACATTAGGTTCCCTAAAGTCCAAAAATGATGTAACTTAGCTTATTTGGTATAAAAATTATACAGGAAGCATTGTCAAATATGAAATGGTACTTGGTTTCTTTGGGCTATATTTGTATAAATGTGTTAGAGGTATGTATTCCAAAATTATGGGAAACTCTTATAATTCTGATGTACCTTAGTGTACATTATCAGTAATAATCATAATTGTTATGTTAAAATTGTTGCATGCCACAGAGGGAACAAATTTCCTTGTCAATTATTTCTTTTAACTATGGCTGCCTTAAAACTTTTTGTCATCCACAAACAATTGTCTTGTTTTATCTTGTTTTAAACCCTCTCTAAAAGGTGGGTTTATAATCAGCTGTAGGACTCTAACAGGTGCACTTAAATGCAGGTTTTCTGATAACTTTGTAAATTATGACATTGGAATAAAGGAAAACTTTCAGAACTTTCATGGAGAGCTAAAATGTTCATGGCTATCAAACAGAACAGAAGTTAACTGAATTAACTGAAGCAACAAAAAACTGAAGTAATCTTTTTGACTCTTTGCTTCAAACGTTGCTGATACTTTGTTTTGTTTTACAGAGTTAAGAAAACTTTTAAGCTATTTGTGGCTTTTAACAATTGAGTGAAGAACACTCCTGTGAACAAAATCTGGAGCATATTTGTTTCTCTCTACCTAAACTCCAGAATTTGGAACCTATTCGTGAGTAGTCTCAGTTTATGGCAATAGAGTTATTTGCGTAAGTGCAGTAAAAATCAGTTTTCTTTTGTAATAGGGCACAGTGAGATACATTGGTTATTTTACCAAGGCTTTGACTGGAATGGTGTGCTTTCCTTTAAGGAATCAAACTTGACTTACGGAGCCAATAAAGCCCTTGGAACAAATGGCCTCATATTTTGTGTACACAGTCCATATACAGGGTTTCTGAGGTAAGTAAAGAATGTCACTTTCTGACATGTGCAGAAGCCCTAGGTTTATCTTGGACCCTCCAGAGGAGAGGAAATTCACCCACCTCATAGGTATTTGACGGCACAAATCCATGGCTGGGCTCAGCTTTAAAAAGTCATATCTGAGATTCCTGCTATGCAGCAAAGTTCCATCAAAGCCCATTTAAAAGTCTATGTAAAAACTAATTACCCTTGCTGCACTGTATACAAATATTAGGCCAAGTATAATAAAGCAAACCAGTCCTACCATGATTTGTCTGTAGTGAAAATGGGAAACTGCAGAGAGAAAAATTATGTTTCAAGTAGACCTGTTGTTAGATTCTGGTCTGCCTGATATTTTTTTCAATTTTATTGTTTTCTACAGTTTGGGACCGAATTCTAATTTTTCCTGGTTACAAGTCTTCAAAATAATGTTTTCAAATTTTTTTCCTTCTTTTTTCCATTTTTCCTAATTTGGAGTCACTGAAAACTAAGTTGTGCTTTCTTAAAACCCTGTGTACTGAAGCCAGACAACTTAAACTTCAGAAGAAAGTAACAGCAACCTGTTCACGTACATAAGCCACTTTCATACCTGCTTACTAATGTACGGACTTCAGAGTAACGTGGCCTATATGGATGCTTTCAGGACTGTTCTTTTGTTTGTTGTTTTTTCTCCCTTCCTCCCCGCTGTTTTCTCTTCACAGGATGTGGGACTTCACAACCTCCTAAAAATGAGCTTTTGGGACCTACCCATCTAGGAATAAACCCTTCTAGCTATGAGAGATCAGATGAAACCTGAGACCAGAGACTCATTCTCTTATAAAATCCTGTCTCCAAAAGATTTAAAAAAAAAGAAAAGTGGGGAAATGTGTAGGAAAATGTCTTTAGCCCCCACAATCACTAAGAAAAACTCAAGCTGGGAACTGCTTAGGGCAAACCTGCCTCCCATTCTAGTCAAAGTCACTCCTTCGCTCACTGAGATAAATGCATTATCTGATTGCCTCCTTTGGAAAGGCTAATAAGAAACTCAGAAGAATAAAACCATTTGTGTATCACCTATCTGTGACCTGGAAGCTCCTTCTCAGCTTCCAGTCTTCCTGCCTTTGCTTCAAGTTGTCCCGCCTTTCCAGACTGAACCATTGTACTTCTTACATATACTGATTGATGTGTCACGTCTCACGTCTCCCTAAATGTATAAAACCAAGCTGTGCCTGGACCACCTTCGGCACATGTCGTCAAGGACTTCCTGAGGCTCTGTCACGGGCATGTCCTCAACCTTGGCAAAATAAACTTTCTAAATTAACTAAGACCTGTCTCAGATTTTCTGGGTTCACAGGTTCTTTTAAAAGAAAAGGGAGTGCAGACAGGTCCAGTCCACCATGGGGGGGTATGCAGGCATTGCAGCTAGAGGCCATCTGTACTTTCTGACAGACGGGGGGCATCTTGGTGACCTCTGGAATACCTGACTGCAGAGGCAGGTACTGCTGAGTATTCACCAGACTCCATTTTCTTCTCCTTCTGAACATACAAAGGCTTTATATCCCAGCCTTCACTTGCAGGGATAGGGGATCATCTGACAAAATTCTGGCCAATAGGAAGTGGGTGGGCCCCAGGAGTGGGCCCCACCAACCTTACCTTCCTTCCACTGGATACAGATATCCAACAAGGGATTCCAAAGCCCAAAGATCTCCTTATTTCAAGTGTGATCCCCAGAACAGCAGCACTGGTACCATCTAGATCATCAGCCATAGTGCTACCATTCTAGAAACACGGATGCTTAGCCCTAGCCCCACTCCCAAATTACTGAATCAGAGCCTTCATGTTAACATGATCCCCAGGAAACTTGTAAACACCTTATTGTCTGTGAGGCTCTGCCCTTAGGGGATGGTGAAGCCAATAACCACACTCACTGGAGCCCTCCCACTGGCCTTGGAGAGTCATATGAGCAAAAATAAATTTTGACTACGCTAAGCCACTGACAATATGGGGTTGTGTGTCATCAGAGTTAGGCCTCCCTAATCAATGGCCCATTTGTGGGGTTCATTTGTTTCTGGTTGTATTCATTCTCATCACTGATACCACATTTCACTCGAGAGCCTCTCATTTTGCTTTTATCTCTATTACTGTCTATCCCAAACACAAGCTTATATGGGAATTATACTTTGAAGATAAATATCTATGGAAACATTGTTTGGCTGTTGCATTTTTATCATTAGATTTCATCTGTAAAAACAGTCTTACTAAACAAATGCTAACTATATTTATTCTGAGATTTTTATATCAAGTCCTATATTTGAGAAACAAGTGTTATTCAGACCCCCCCAGGCTAAACCTTTGATTCCTGATTGATACTTTCTGAGAATCAATGATATTACTATTTTATCATATATTTTTCTCAAAGGTAGCCCCAAATCCTTGAAAAACAAAGATAATAAAAAGTCTTTATCTATGACAACTTTGAGCAGGTTTGGATTAAGGCAGCTTCAGGGGCAAGTAGAAAATGCATATTTTATTTATATTAGCAGAATCTTACTCTGGAAAAACTACAGGGTGACTGTTAGAATTTTCATCATTCTTTTTACCAAATAACAAAATTAGTGCTACTAACATAGTGGGTTTCTTGCCACTGATAAGGCACCTGTGGGATGAGATGAGGCCTGTGCATATATGTGAGCTTCCATTAGTTCAAGGTGAAACAGGAGTAGATTCTAGCTCACTCATTTGTTCCTTTTATTCATTTATTAAACCTTTAACAAACATGTATGAATGCTTGCCACGTACAACATCTTAGCTGGGTGCTATGAGGATTACAAAGACAGTCCCTACCACAAAGGAACTTACAGGTGTAAGAGAAATAGATATGTAAAAATAACCATAAAAGGAGGCAGATTAGAACAATCATTACAGCAGAGAACAAATCATAAAGAGAAGAGATGAATTCCAACTGGAATCAGAAAAAGATTCATGAAGGAAGTGGCGTTTGAACTAAGTTTCAAAGAGCAGACAATTATTTATTTATTTTTATTTATTAATTGACCAGAGAAGAATTTTGATGAGTCCTGGAAAAGTAGGAAGTGAGGAGCTGCTGAAGGATCCACAAGAGTGAAATCACTGAGAGGTCAAAGGGTTAAGTGCATTCAGAAAATATGGAGTGAGCACTGCAACACACTCCTGTCCTTTTCACTCCAAAGACTGTGTTCTTTCCCTATAACTTTTTGACCTCAAATCTGATCATGCTTTTGATGAGTGGCAGTTATTTCCATGAAAGGGACAAAGCTAACAACTTGAATATTTTAGCAAAGAAGTAAAGGTATAATAATTGCTACCATTATATGTAGTCTCAATTCTAAGCATATGATTGGAAGTGGCAAGGTACAGAAAGAACTTTAACATCTCAAACCCATAAGATGTAAGATTATATTTAAAGGAAAAATGTCATACCCTAAAGGCTACCTTCATGAACCCAAAGGAGCCCTCCAATTCCAGTCTGCCAAACACTAACTTATATGAAAATGCCTTCTAGGCAATCCCATTTACAATAGCTGCCAAAAAACAAAACCCTATGAAAATATTTAACCAAGGAGGTGAAAGATCTCTAAAAAAAATTATGAAACATTGATGAAATTGCAGATGACACAAAGAAATGGAAAAACATCCCATGCTCATGGATCAGAAGAATGAGTATCTTTGAAATGACCATACTGCCCAAAGCAATCTATAGATTCAATACAATCCCTATCAAAATACCAGTGTCAGTCACAGAATTAGAAAAAACAATCCTAAAATTCCTATGTAACCAAAAAAGAACCTGAATAGCCCAAACAATCTTGAGCAAAAAGAACAAAGCTGGAGGCATCACATTACTTTCAGGCCTCTGAGCCCAAGCTAAGCCATCGTATCCCCTGTGACCTGCACATAGATACATCCAGATGGCCTGAAGCAAGTGAAGAATCACAAAAGAAGTGAAAATCCCCGGTTCTTGCCTTAACTGATGACATTCCACCATTGGGATTTGTTCCCGCCCCACCTTAACTGAGTAATTAACCCTGTGAAATTCCTTCTCCTGGCTCAAAACCTCCCCGACTGAGCACCTTGTGACCCAAACCCCCTTTGACTGTAATTTTCCACTACCCACCCAAATCCTATAAAATGGCCCCAACCCCATCTCCCTTTGCTGACTCTCTTTTCAGACTCAGCCCGCCTGCACCCAGATGAAATAAATAGCCTTATTGCTCACACAAAGCCTGTTTGGTGGTCTCTTCACACAGACACGCGTGACACAATTACCTGACCTCAAATTATACTACAAGGCTATAGTAAGCAAAATAGCATGGTACTGGTATAAAAATAGACACATGGATCAATGGAACAGAATAGAGAACTTAGAAACAAAGCCACAGAACTACAGCCAACTGATCTCTGACAAAGTCGACAAGAACATACACCGGGGAAGGGACGCCCTTTTCAACAAATAGTGCTGGCAAATTTGGATTGCCATATGCAGAAGAATGAAAATGGGATCCCTCTCTTTCACTATATACAAAAATCAACTCAAGATATAATTAAAGACTTAAGTGTAAGACCTGAAACTATAAAAATTCTAGAAGTAACCTGGGGAAAATTCTTCCAGACATTGATCTAGGCAAAGAATTCATGATTAAGACCTCAGAAGCACAAGCAACAAAAACAAAAAATAGATAAATGGGACTTAATTAAATGAAAAAGCTCTGCAAAGCAAAATAAACAATCAATAGAGTGAACAGAAAACCTATAGGAGAAAATATTTGCCAACTATGCATCCAACAAAGGACTAATATCCAGAATTTACAAGGAACTCAAACAACTCAACAACAACAACAACAAAACAAATAATCCCATTAAAAAGTGGGCAAAGGACATGGACAGATATTTTTCAAATGAGTGAATGGCCAAAAAGCATATGAAAAAATGCTTAGCATCACTAATCATCAGAGAAATGCAAACTAAAACCACTATGAGATGTCATCTTAACACTAGTCAGGATGGCCATTATTGAAAAAGATTAAAAAATAACAAATGTTGGTGAGGATACAGAGAAAAGGGAATGCTTATACACATTGATGGGAATGTAAATTAGTACAACCCCTATGGAAAACAGTATGAAGATTTCTCAAACAACTAAAAATAGATCTACCATTTGATCCAGCAATCCCACTACTGAGTATCGACCCAAAGGAAAATAAATTGCCATATCAAAAAGATATCTGCATTTGTATGTTTATCACAGCCCTATTCACAATAGCAAAGACATGGAATGAACATACATATCCATCAAGGGAAGATTAGAAAATGTGGTGTATATACAAACACAATGGAATACTGTTCAGTCATAAAAAAGAATGAAATCAGGTTTTTGCAGCAACACAGATAGAACTGCAAGCCATAATCTTAAAGTGAAATAATTCAGATACAGAAAGTCAAATACTGCATATTTGCAGTATTATCTCACGATTAAGTGGGAGCTAAATAATGTGGAGATGTGGACATAGAGAGTGGGGTGATAGGCACTGGCAACTTCGAAGTGTGGAAGGGGGTAAATGATGAGAAATTGCTTAATGAGTATAATGTACATTATCTGGGTTTGGGTTACAATAAAAACCCAGACTTCAGCACTACGCGATATATCCAGGTAACAAAATTGCACTTGTACCCCTTATTTTTTATAAATAAAATAAGCAAATAAAATGCTTCCTAGTGGTAAATTTTTCACTGCAGAAGTTTTGTATTTAGATAATTACAAAAATAAAATCACAAAATTAAATATATTCTCACAGAACGTTTGGATTCTGAAGAACATGTTCACAGGCTGCAGCTTGAAAAAAAACACTGGAAAGAATATTCAATTTCTGCTCCTAGTGTGTCATTAATTATTAATTAGCTGTGTGACCCTGGGAAACCACTTAACATCCAAGGACCCAGGCCCCGCTCTTCTTTCTGCCACTGTCATGTACAAATAATAATGATGCTATGTCGTAAGGTCATAATGAGACCTGAATAAGACACACATGAACACTGACAGCAATAACTGGCATTTGTTAAGGGCAAAATAAATGCCGGTTATCATTACTGTTGTTGCTCTTGTGAGAGGACTTCTGAGGTCCCTTGTGCCTTTAAAATTCTGCATATTTTGAGTCACTGTCTTCACCGAAAACTAAGCGGACTGGTCAGAGACTCCTGAAATTCTAGGACTGGAGACAACAATGCAGCCCGGACAGAAAAACATTACCTTGGCATTTTCCAAGCAAAGATGAAGTGTTGCAGGGAAGTCTGGCCTCCACTCAGCACATTCTTTGCAAAATGACCACAAATACATTAGTGATGATTTGAACCTGTTTTTTCTCTTTGAAAATAAAAGCTACCCAATGGAGTAATACCTAAGGAAGGACCTGAATTCATGACAAACCTTTACCCAAAAATCTATCCAAAAATGGAAAAGGAACATCTTTGAAAAGACTCTTAGGTATCAAGATCACATTGCTTCAACTTTTACATTACCAGAATTTCTCTAACAATGTCTTGGTTCTAGAAGATTAAAGGCTACTCTGATAACATATCAGATCAGGCATTGATTTCTAGCAAAACACTTCAGCTTGGTGGGCCTGAATTTTCCTAACTGTGGAAAGGGTAGAATAGTAATCAACTTGCCACCAAGTGACATGCATCAAATGCTTTGTGACTTTTGGCTGAAAGAAGCCACAACAAAGTTGGTTATTTATTAAGTACACTATGTGTTCTAATAATAAAGAAACCTCTGGGGCAATGAGACGAGAGCAGCTTTCCTGTGAAAAGGCTTCTCTGACATTTGCACGTAGCCCATGGCTCCTAGCGCGCGTTGCTCAGGTGCTTATCGATCCTTCTCATTATACTTCCCAGACAGGAAGGAACGTGTTGGAACGCAGAGCATCTGGACTGAAGCTGAAGCTTCATGCTTGCCTTTCATTTACCCCATTTGGAAAAGCAATTTCAGATCCCACCTATTTCTTTTTATTCTTTGTCAAACAATTTCACACATGCTAAGGACCACGGCTTTCTGCTGCCCAAGGCGGATGCACGTCATACAGTCTATGCTGCCGAGTCTTGATCTCCCGGACACACTGAGCTGTCTCAGATATGCAGTCCCCGCCGATGATGACAAGCAGAGACTGCCAGTGACCAAGCCTACTTCTCTCTGCTCTGTGGAAGCACAGCTGCAGTCCCACATGTCCCATCATGCTTTCTGCTCTGAAATATACCTCCTGGGCTGTTGAATATTGCGTCTGTTCACTAATTAGCACAGTAGCCCCCATGTGTGTGCAGATGTTGAAAGGTCAGGAAAAAAACTCTCCGTATTTTAGTAGACTTTCCCCATAGATCACTGTGTCTTAGAGATATAACTTCATAAAAATAGAGATATTAGAACTGTGAGATCTCAAAAAAATGATATAGCATTCCACTTAGTGAGATGCCACTGT